GCGCAGAAGTCGGTATTTTGTGGAAGAGCCACACTCAAGGGGCCAAAGAGCCGCATGTGGCTCGCGAGCCGCAGTTTGCCGACCACTGTCCTAGGACAAGCAGCACTGGGAAGATGCCTCCATTTCAACCTCAGAAGACAATCACAGAGACACTTCCAGAAACAGATCTCCACCGTCCCCAAAGGCTGTGGGCTTCACATACCACGTGAGTTACAACTTTTGCATTTAGAAAAACATCATGGCCTGGCTGGTGTAGCCCAGTGGTCATGGCTCGATTCCTGGTCAGGGCACATGCTCAGGTTCTGGGTTCAATCCCCAGTAGGGCGTGGGCAGGAGGCAGCCGTCAATGATTCTCTCTCATCACTGATGTTTCTCTCTCTCCCTCTTCCTTCCTCTCTCTGAAATCAATGTTTAAAAAGAGAGAGGAAAGCGCCATGGGGGTCGACAGTCAGGGGTCCTCCTGGGCAGACCCTGGAGCCTGCCATGTTACAGGAACCAGGCGTCAGGAGTCGGGCTTCCCTGAGCTGAGGGTGGGTGTGTGGAGAGGTTGGACTAGCCTGCATTCCTGGGAGTAGGCCCAGGAGCCTTGGAGCCAGGGGGCTGCCCCTGACCCTCAGGAGAGCTGGGTTCCTGGCTCACCAACTGATGCCAAGGGCAGGCACGCAGGGGCACCCCTGCCCAGAAACACCAGAGCATATCTCACTTAACATCTCAGGTAAGTCAAGACACCCCCAGAGGGATGCAAATGAGGGGGGAGGATCCGATGATAAGAACCTTGGATTGGGAGTCAGGGACCCGGTCCCCACCCTGCCACGTGTGAACTGCATCACCTCGATCAGGTCTCAACTTTTCTGAGCCCCAGCTTTCACCTCTGTATAAAGAAGGGCTCGATTTAGGTAAACTATAAAGCCTCCCCCGCCCCCCCCAAAATCCTAGGATGCTAACATGTGTGGCTGGACAACCTGATGTTTAACATGCTTCTACGTGATTCACAAAATGAAAACCTTACCTGTGCATTCCCA